GGTGGCCAACCCATGACCTGGCAGAGGAGTATGAAGGAGATCACGAAACGCTTGGGTGCTGTCGGTGCTACTCACCTTCCAGGATGGGGACCGCGTGATCCTCACTGTGCCTGGTTGGAGACACTACAAGATATGGCTGCCAACCGATGTCAGTGGCGTTCTTGTCAGTTTCTGTCCAGATTGCGTGAATGAATGTCTGGAGGTGTAGGCACCTCGGAATGATTGTGTTAAGCTAGCACCAAGTCCCTCCCCCATCCACCTTTATTCTTTTCTTTGCAATAAGGCTTTCAAATAAGTCATGGCTGTACGGCAGTTAAGCATTGGTATTGAGCAATGATGTCATGCTGTCGTTGATGATGATGATGATGTCTTTTTAAGACATCGCGCCTACTTTGAATCATAATTCCTATGACTTCCTGGCATTCCGCCTGTGTAAATCAACAATGGGGCTTCGGAATTTGTAGTTGTCTGGTCCAATGAGTTATTTTCCGGGATGTTATCACCACTGAATCCCCGAGTATATGATAAGATACTGTCCATTTTCCTTAGGTAGTCATCTATCTTCATAATGACCCCTTGTCAGGTTAGAGGTATAGCATGTGTTCCATTTCTCTCAGTTCTTTGGTCGCTTTTTAATTCGAGGCCTTCAAATAGCCCTTTTGGTGTACCGAATGGAATAGATACTAATGTGAAATGTCTACTAATGTGGCACCGAACCAGTCAGCATCATCTGTCAGTTTTGTTTTCGCCAAGTGAGTTTACCTGGAACAGGCAGGCTGAAGTCGCTAAGCTTGATGTATGGTGGGATACTGGAGTGAACCAAGACAAGAAAAAACTCCGTATACATTGTTGAGTGCTTAGGATTTAGTGAAGTCTTATCAAATTCCTCTTAGAGAGCATTCTACTGCTCGTGTGACATTGTTGAGTGCTTAGGATTTAGTGAAGGCTTATCAAGAACACCAAATTCCTCTTAGAGAGAATTCCACACGTTTGCTGGTGTGAGTATTCTATCCAATGGGCAATCACTCACCCAACCCCGTACTGATGATGTCACCTCGATTAATGACGAAACGTCTACAATCGAACTTCCATGCTCGGTGAACGGACCGAAAACCAAGGGGAATCACTGTACTTCTATTCTGTCAATAATTTTCCGTTTAAATTACAAGTAGGTTTTTTGTTTTACATTGGGTGGCGTAATGGTGTGGTCGTAATGATTGTGTACATGGTGACGAAATTCCTTCTCGGAACTTGTCAGAACGAGGAATCTTTGTCAGAATAATTTGGGATTTTACTGAAGACATACTTTCAAGCGGTATTTATCCATATACATGAGAAACATCCCTTAGCGCATGCTTGTCTAGTCCAGTCTGTCTCATTGTTATCTGTTGCGTTGACCTTGGTACAGGTGTATTAACATGCCGTGGCACCAAACCACTGCGTGAGGAAAATTACCAGTCGATCACGTGACCGTACTCATACTAGGTAACCAGCAGTCAGACGATCAGTTGTAGCGACAAGTTATATGCAGAAACGAATTATACGTATACTTCTTGGACTTTATGCGATTGACGTTGTATAGATTCACTATTGAATGAGGTATTCTAGTGATATCATGTAGTGGTCACCTACCGAGACTCTACAACCTTGACGTCCTTCCTCACATTTTTATGCGGTTGTTTTTCGACTGCAGATGAAAATACTATCCATCCCAAAGTTCAGAAAATTTTTGAGAGAGTCAGGCAAGCGGCTGATTTTATGCCGGCGAAGCAGATGCACAAAGTAATCACTGCATCACTCGGTTCGAACTGGTCCAGTCTTGTGGCGAAATTCGATGAGCGCCCGTTCGCCGCAGCTAGCATCGGTCAAGTGCATCGTGCTGTACTTAGTGATGGCAGGTAAGATTACAGCACAATTGTGATTACACTGATATTATTTACCCGATTCAAAGTCCGAGCACTTTCCCACTTCGTGTACTGAATTTACTTGTTGTTCAAAAGAAATTCTCCATCCAACCAGTAATAAGTTGCACTCCTGAAACGCTAGTGAAGCGTTGTGACGTTCAGTGGGTGAGAACGATACGTTGATCTTACCGCTTGATATATGACAGTTGATTCTATTAAAGGGTGCGGTGATTCTCCTTATGAGGGGAATCAGGACAAGAGGGAATAGCTTCTTTAGGCTTCGGTTTTTCAACATCCTACCGCTCTTATAAAGTACAACTCGCGCGAGAGGACGGTAGCTCGGAAATTAACTCGTGCTAATAAGCTGTGTTCATTGTCCCTTTCGAAAGAGATGCGTGCTTTCACCTCTTCAGTGTTCCTGCTGTCTACACGTTTTGGAGCACAGTTCCTTGGAATTCAGCCATGCTGGGGAGGAGTCCAACTAAGAGCAGCGGTTATACACACTGCATTACTTCGTATTATGAGGTGGTTTGCGTGTTCAGTCATACTGTTGCGATGGGATTGTGAGAGTGGTAAGGCGTTTCCCCCCAGACGAACATCATACCCATATCTATAGAAACAGGTGTGGTTTATCCTCCCGAGGAAAGACCGGCCTTGAAAACCACACGTTCCGGTCGCCCAGGTATCTTGTTCACTGCGATCAGAAAACTTTTGGGTAAAAGACTCTGAACCCGCTCAGAAAGCACTTCATGTGTGCAATAGTGTTATGAGCCAGACTTCCATGCCTTACTCCCTGCACGTTCGGTTTGGGTCGGCCCCTCTACATTGCCTTGTGGGATAGACTTTGAGGTCAGAGACTGTGGAGAGGGTACTCAAAATGAGTACATGTTCTCAGTCCCGACGGTTGAGAAAGGCTTATCTTCCCCAGGTTACACCAACCCCCAGAAAGACAAGGAAACTGCATGTGATTAAAAACGTGAGACTATCTTGGACAATGGAAAATGGTATCTTATGCACCTCCAAAGGCATCTATCATACATAGCAATATTTATACGATTCCTATATCTTACTCCGTGCGCGTCCGGACTAGGCAGGGATAAGTCATGAGGGCTAGCAGAAGGCCCCCGCAAAAAACGATCCTTACACTCGTTCTCTTACGGCTAAGACTATTACTTCAAAGAATCATCATCAGTGACAGCAACGCCAGATAAGAACGCTAGTACTTCACTGTTGCATAGCCATATCGACTTATTTGAATAAAGCCTTATAATGTAAAGAAAGAAATGGCGCCGGAAACCTAGGGTTAATCCATCACACACGTCCGAGGTATCTACACCTCTACCATTCAGACAATCTGGATAGAAACTGACATCGGTTAGCCACCATATCGTTCAGCGTCTCCAGCCCAGCACGAGGAAGGTCACATGACCCCCACTTTGGATGACGAACAGCACTAACGGCACCCAAACTTTCCGTAATATCCTTCATTCCCTTCTCCCTTGTCACATTCCGTTCAATCAAGGTTCCGGCCACTTCAAATTGGTACGGAAAACAGTGCCCATCTTGCCAAGCGGTAACCCGGTATGCACAAAACATGGCTCAGCCACCTCAGCTTGAAGTCCTGAGTGCATTCTTGAGAACACCATCCTTTGCTTAACCGAAAAACCCGTCTTTCGTTCAGCTTATTGCGAATTCACTGGTTCCAGCTGATTCTAGCTATAGTACTGGGACATCGGTAGTCAACGACCTGAATGTCTCAGATCGCCCTGCCGGAGTGACCATGTATTTCAGCCGTACCGCAATACCTTACCTTAGTCTGTTACATGCGCCTTTCGAATTCGCTGAGATGCCTTTTTGACACAACAAGTGCCGCAAATTTGTAGATGTCATTCCGGCCTTCGAGATTCATACGTTCACTTCGTCTGTCACATTACCTTCAGAGCCAGTGCAATTTCCGAAATACGTGTACTGTTCCACAGCCTCCAGTATTACTCCTTGAATCCTCAGCTGCATGTTGAAAGACTATTAGACCTGCAGCATGACTTTCCACTTTGTGGGAGCGAAGCACATGCCGCGAAGGCCTGGGTGACCTTGGTCAACTTTTCAATTAATGTTTGCACTTCCGGCTATTTTTTAGAAAGCGTAGTCCATATATTCCAGATCGCCAAGGTTCTCGCTCAGAGAAATCTGATCCCCAGAGTTTTGGAAGCATTCCAGTATCTCATTATCTGAGCAATGACGAGGAAGTGGACATCCTTGTCGTGCATCGCTGATTGTAGGAAAGCTTTTGGAGGGACTCCCATACACTCACGCCCACAATATGTGATCACAAACTGCGCACGATATTCACGAAATTATGGGGTATACCCTGTTGTGCAAGCGTCTCGGGAACTACCAATTAGTCTACGGAATCGAACCCACTCTTGAAGCCAAGAAACAAGTTTGTCGGGCGCCTATAGATATGCCGTTACCCTAACACATAACGGACTGTGAGGGCGTGGTCTTCATAGTCCCTTCCCGGCTGGATCCATGCGTGTAGTTGTCAGGTCCCCTCTTCACGCATGTTCATAGGACTACCTAGAACAAGCGGCGCATAGTCTAGTTGCAACGGTAGTTAGGCTAATTTCTCCATGATCGTCACACTGCGGGCACTCGGTTTGAAAATGGGCGCCATTATCGACCCAACCCATTTCGTTGGGACGGTCTTTTTCTTCAAGATGGATGCACTTGAGTTAGACAAGCACCGAATAAGGATTTCAACTTCATCTTTGAGAAGAACAGGTGGGATTTCGTCAGGATCAGCAGCTCAGTGGCGCCTGAGTGTCTCACCTAAATCCTTCTTATGGCCAGGAAGTAATAGCCCCCGTGCAGCGTAGAACAACAGACCCGTCATTTCCCGTCCCTAAATGTTCCCTTGCTGGTGCAGTCCTTGCTGTTCTTGAGTCTCCCACTTCACTACCAGTTGCTAGCATTCCATAAAACAGGCCAGCAGACAGTCCTTAATTACACATACTGCACGCTGAATGTTGGCGCATACTGTGTCTCTGAAAGTCACTCGTGATTTCGCAAGATCTACTCCCCGAATCAGACATCGCTGTCAATCGTTCGTCTAAGACCATCATATGTTTTTCGAACAATTGGTACCCTGTTGTCTATCTGCTCATTGACTTAATGTTGAGTTCCTGATGGATGCATCTACCAAGAATACCCACCACCAACAGCTCAAATATAAATCAGGCTTGTCAACCAAGCAAAAGGTTTTATACATGTCAATAAAAAGTGGCTTTCGAAAACAAAGCCGAGACCCAACGCAGGCTGAATCTCTACAGCCCTCATTGAAACCAAGAAATCGATGCCTTGTAGTGAATAAGGCGGCACAATAAGACGAATCTTCAGGTGGCGATTGGATCACAACCGCAAGAATGCTCGAGAGAAATAGTGGATGGAAAAGGCTGAAAAACTTATATCTGGTAGCAATTATTTCCGCTCGAAAGTTACTTTAATTCACGAGTAGTGCTGGGCCAAAAAGACTACGAGTCCATGAAGTCATTTTGAAGAGCTATGGATCCACATTGACGGAAGTGTTCAAAGAGTGGCAGGCCCCTTTTTCAATCACAAAGGCACCAGAACCGAATAGGGGCATTATCGGAGAATCAGTTTAGTTGCCTTCTCTTCTAGGCTGCCAACGAGTAGCATCAATCAGCACTCATGAGAGGATATCCTGAGGACCAAGCAGGATTTTGTTCTGATTGCGAATGCATCAGTCCTGTTGTTGTTCATCAGTAACTTCTAATACAGACAATCACCATGTATCATCCTAGATTTAGAGGCGGCTTCCAGCGCATTTGATTAGGCTGCTTTCCTTTAAATGTGTACCGGAGATCTTCATCACAGTTATTTATATTATCTGTGGACGCTCGAGGGTCCACATTACAAAAACGGTGTTCTTCAGGGTTGTCCATTATTATCTTCAAAGTTCAGTGTAATTCAAACTTATTGGTGGAAAACCCCTAGAATTTCCATTTTCCCAGAGGGAAGAATTTAGTGACCGGATTGTGCAGGTGTGCGCTTCTAGAGTCTTGCATCCAAACCGGGTGAATGTGACATTAAACATGGTCAAAACGTTCGAGACTCTGGAAGTGGTTGGAAAGTTCACTTATGTAGGTAGTCTTACCCCATTGTAAATGCAAAGGCTTTCACAGGCCTTGTAGTTTTGTTAACAAAAGCCCTTGTAACAGCTACCTAAAATTAACCCCTCAGTAAAGGGAAGGACTTACAGCACGATTTTTGCCGACTGTGAGGTTAATGTCGTGGCGGCCATTTACTCCCGTGTTCGTCTCATTTTCAGTCCCCTCCCTCATCTTGCACTGTCAGCGTACACAGTTTATGATTGAAATACCCGACTGAATTGAACCGATTACCCGACTTTTCCAACCGCGTGCGTTATGGTCTGCGCCGAGTACTTCATAAGCGTATTTGTCAATTAATCGTATAGTGACGATGTCACGGGTTTGTTTCGGCAACAACCGTCCTAACAGACCTGGTTTCTCGGGATTTCGTTACATCATAACCGAGGAATAGTGAGTCGTATTCATCACTGAGTGCCAGAGACAACCTTTTTAATTGTGGGTAGCATAGCAAGTAGCACATAAGGTTGACGGAAACTCAGGGATTGTGCCTACCCCAAGAAAAGCCGAACCGGTCGTAGGCTGTCGAAGGGCTTTCAGACAGTTTTCTTTCAAGAAAACCTGATAGAATTTCGTCAAACCCTAACGTAACACCTTTTGGATTCCAATAGCTAATAAACCAACTGCAGCTTTCAATTCGATGACCTCTTCACCAATACGTGCTCTGTCAACCACACGACGGTGGTAGACAATGTGCCCAGCCTAGCAGACGATTAACTGGCTGGACTTTGAATGGCTGGTCGAATGATTGCTGTGGACATGGTCGCGGTAACCACTCTCTGCCTCATAACCTCTCGGGTACCCATAGTCAAGTTCTCCAGTCGGGCCAGTTTCAATGTGCATTTTTTCTACTCTCATGTTGTGCTTTCCGTTGTTCCAACCGCTTTGAGTGGGTCGCTATTATGCGCTTCTATTATAATAGCAAGTATACCACTTACCTGCAATGAAGATAGTTGGCAGCTCAGTGGTTAAGACACGAAATTACTGACTGGAATGTTCCTGGTTCGAACCCGATCCCGGCATCCAGAATGCTCCTGTCTAGGCTCTGCAACTCTGGCAGTATCTCCCACTCGAACTTCTCTCGGGTGGCACCGGAGTGTTGCAGCCGAACGATTATTATATCACACAGAACCATGCATCGTCCTCATCGTTGGCTAAAAACTGTATATGGATGCTACAGTGATCATAGCATCTGTAGCGTTTTTTTCATGCACGGTCTAGACTTTTGGGCAGTTTAGTTCTGGGATTGTAAAATATATAGTAAAGTGAAAACCATCATTCAGCTGTAACACCCTTTCGGTACCTAGCCGCCGTGCCATTGGAAGGTTTAGGCTGGCTATCAAGTAGGTATGAAGGATGTTGGTTTCGTTGACGTCACCGTAATCTAACAGTATTAGCAGGCATGGCTTTTAAAGCTAGCATCTTTGTAATTGACAAGCGTAAACGGACCCTGAGCTGTAATCTAATATTTATTGATATCTGGATTCAATGGAGACTTGGTAAAGTCAATCCGTGCTTAAAAAACGAGATGCGGTGTGCAGCTGATCCATGCGCTCTAGGAAATGTCATCAGTGCGGACCTTACTAATGTCTAATAGTAGCTGGAGGCTAGTTGAATTCTCCAGTTAGCTTTGTAGTTTCGGTGCAAAAGTTTTGTTACCTATTGACGCGACACCATCAATGCGTTGTGAAGTGGAGTGGGGTTGTGAGTTGACGATTGTTCGTCGAGTAGTGGAATGCGCGAGTTTGTGTGCGTGTTTGCGGTCAAACAGCTCAGACGACAGGATCAACCGCAATGTAAGCTGCCCAAAGTCACAGTATGAAACGGAGATAAAGTTCAAAGGTCACCCAAATGTCGACCAATCAGATGGGTGAACAATCCGTCACTTAGGTTGCTCACTGGACCAACCATCCGTAATCGAAGGTCACTTCACTTTCACAAACACAAATTCGCGCTTACCACTACTGAATGCACTAACACCAACTCGCACCTCCGCCCCGGTACACAAAGCATTGATGATGGAACGTTTGCAACAGCCACCGTTCGGCCGCGATTACTGCGTCAACAGTTTTATTCACTCACACTCATCCCCACATCATGTAGTCACCTGCCAATCGGCTCCTCACATCATATCTATGGTCCAACTACTGATAACGTATCCAATAGGCTAAAAGAGGTTAAACTGGCCTGGTTGCGAGAACAAACGAGCTGTAATAGTGTCACGGGTGACACTTGCTAGGACGCTGTTAGCAAGCCTAGTTAGCTAGGGGAGGTAGAACTGATCAGAGGAGAAAGTGGATAGCACAGATTGTGCGTTTGCTGGTTGACTTGTTTGCTGAGCTTCTCAAACGTTTCGTCACCAACCATCAGCGCATTGTGGTTTAGCGATGCGGTGTGCCATGGTCAGGTGGTGTATCAGTGTGTAGACCTGCACACTGTGAACACCAATCTTTCTGAACATTGTCCGCTTGCCATTCGCAGTCATCAGGTCTTGGCGAAAATGACATATTCCGGAGCAGAGTAAAACCCACATTTTTAAACGTATCTGTCTAACTCTGCCTCTATTAAAGGAACTGTATCAATAAGGTAGTAGAATTTTCCTACCAATGCTCGTCGCTTATATGAATCCTTCAACAAGCAGTGCATTTACTTGACTTCGCTGTGACTGACTCGAGTTTTGCGTGTGTACGATGGGGTATCAGACTTCCAGGTTACTGGTTCGATGGTTTGAACATACTGCATTGCTCCTCCTTCTGCATGTTGATGAGTGCAAACATATACCAATCGTAAAACTTGAACTGCAGCTTCAACGGAACCACCACATGAGGGAGGGAGTGCTTGAGATGAAAGTTGTATGTATTCGGTCGGACTCAATTTAGTCTTCAAGCTCAATGGTTTTCCAGTGGAACTTTGGTAACGCAGGTCTCTGATTGGAAATTCCAGTTGTTCTAATGTAACTCAAATGTGGTTAGTATCTCGGACCTCTGGGAGTCACGTATGTACCTGCGAACGTCCTCCACCTTGTTGACCAAATGCGCCTTCGACTCTGACATAGAAGGTTATGGGTTCGAATCCCCATTGAAATCGTGTGATATACGCACTCCTTGTTAGTAAGCCGTGAAGGATGTCTCGGCTGTTCACCTTAATTGAGTACTAAACTAAACTTCTTTATTAAAAATTGAAGATTTCGTAACCACATGTGAAGTAACCGGTTGTTTTTCAACCACAACTCAGGGTAGTCGCAATGAAGATCCAGTATCCTGGCGTGGCGGACAGCATCGATGCAGACATTAAGAACCTGATGACACTCTTGAACCGATTCGACATCTTACCGCGTGGTCTCTTTGCCGAACAGGCGGCCAATGTTGCAACTCGGGAACTAAGGGAGGAATGCAACTACATACGCGAAGCCTCCTATTGCAAACAGTTTGCCTCGTTGTTGGCCGATGATCCCGTGTTTCAGGTGCCTGCTATCGTTGATGAGTTAACCACAGACCGTGTGCTCACAGCCGAATTCATGGAGGGTCTAGTGCTGGATGATTGTTGTACATTGCCACAAGATGTCAGAAATTGGGTATGCTACCTTGGTGCCAACGTCTTCGCTTTTAATCTGTGCATGTAGTTACTATGTCCAGTTCGTTTATCATCTTTTTGTATGTAAGACAGCTTTCCAAATGGGCCTACTTACTGTCGCTCCGCCAAGTGGTTCCGCAAGTTGCGCTCTGTGAGTTAGTGGTATCACGCTGATTAAATTTATGGGTCTATGTGTGAGGAGGATCGAGGGTAACTGCGGCAAAAATTTTCAACTTTTAAACGATCTTTCGTGACTCATGAAAAGTAATAACTGGTGTCTTTTTATGTCTTTGATGAAGAACGTGTGTTGGGCTCCCAATACGAGTCTCTGGTCGTCTTGAAGACGCACATGCTCCGATTTACCTCTGGACCGGCGAAACAGGAATCCGTGATGTCAGACACCGGGCTATATGGTTGGGCTAGTTTGTATACTATTCTTAGTAATTTATTATTCAGTAGGCAAAGCAACGGCCGACTGCACAGGTAGGTTTGTGCTTTGCTGTTGGGATGTACCGTTTTAAAAATATTTAAATACCGGTCTCGTAGCTGTCTGCATGCTGCGCCTAGATGGTTTTCACCTCATGTCAAGGGCTTTGGGCGCTACGAAACCAGTTTGTCTATCCGGAATAGTCTAGTCTTCTCCAATGTGGTTGGAACTGTTTTATGCATTGCAGAAATCGTCGGTGTGCCCAGAAGTGATTACTGTACGTTTCTAGGGCAGTATGTGGGTCATGGTTAAACATCGGATCAACGACGTCGAGGCAAATCAGTTCGCTTTCGGAAGAAGTAACTCACGCACGAGAGATGTACTAATCACTTTACGTAGGTTGCGGTTGTCAGGCCAGGAGGCCTGCTCCAGAGCCTTTTTCGGTCAGCTGTATACACAATGGATCGTTATATGTCTTGACAACCAAGCTTGATAGTCCTGACTAAGAAACCTAGTTGCTGTGGTAATTTCCATTTATCTGATTTGGGGACCCCAGGACTGTATTTAACAATGGTGAATAATACTGGAATGTTTGGAGAGGTCACGTAGCCAATGGTCCTTGTACTTTATAACTTTCGTCTTCACTGCGAAGTTGTTTCCCCATTTCACATTCAATGAGAACGGGAGAACTTCTCAACGCCATTAAGCTGGGCAGGCCAGCGCCTCCACTTCTGGACCGCCTCCTGTATACTTCATGTGTCCATAGTCCATGCCTTTTCCTATTTCGGACGTAGCGGGATGTCATTATAAGAATGGGTCATTTTCGACTTCAGTTACTGTGATCGAACGTGTGTTTTCAAATCTCACCTGGATGTCTCGGTACTTATATATCGGGACCACTAAGGCCTCATCTCTGATGGAGCACCTGGTGTAATGCATCATTTGACTCTCAACTAGGTTGACTCCGAATTGATTGACAAATTTTAATTTAACAGGTGACCTGTTTACCACTTTTTATTTCTGACATCTTTTCAGATTTGATCATCTTTGGGCACTTCCCAATAAAATTATAGAACTACTCATGTGTGTCACTACTGTCTCACTCTTTCTAGACGGAACTGAGTGATTTTTGGTCGCTAGGTGGCGAATTCCGACAGAAGTCAGTTGCAGAATTTACAACTGATGTAAAAGCGCCAAAAGGCGAGAAAAGGTCGCAACAGGACTACTTCATGGTATTGTCTCGCTGAAGGAACCTTCGGTGATATTTCCGGTACCTTACAATACTCCCATAAGTCACCTGCGCTTCTCCATTTCTACCAGCTAAGTTTTGGATTCATAACCGCTTTGTAGACTCATCGCGATAGTATAATCCATGGAATCTCGATCGGGTGGAAATCAATAGCGCAAGTTGGCTAATCCAACGTCTTTACCAGACGGAATAGAATCCAGCGCTGGATGAAGTGAGACAGTGCTATCCTTTTCAACATCCTATCGTCCAGCAACCAATGATCACATCAGATATTCTAGTTTATGGATGTACGCCTCAGCTTTTCATCAGCTCGCTTCATGCGAAGACTTCAAGCTCGGTCAGATGAAAAGAGTAATTCGCATTGCTGTTTGGGTGTACGGCCCGTTGACAAGAATTCTAAACTGTGACGCGTCTGAGCCGCCCTAGACTTATTGTCTTGAACGCAGACTTCTGTCTCTCTAAGTAAGCAATAGAACTGTATCACCTCGAAATATAAAACAAACACAATTTCGGCGCATAGCTGCCATGCCACGAGTGCTGAATACTGCCAGGTTGCCCAGATCTAGACAGAAGCTCTCGAGAGGCTGAGGTTGGCTTCGAACCCCAGAGCTATCTCGAGCTATCTGTCATCGCTAGTGGTCAGAAGAGATTTAGTGTCGATTGGTTAGACATGGAAACGTTACAGGTACTACAGCTGTACGGGTTAGCATTATTGACGAGTAACCGAGAGGGTGATGCGTACATCTCTGCACAGAAATATCTAATATTGCCACCAGTTCGCATGGTAATATTGGAAGGTGAGATGTTGGAACAAGATAACCCTGTATTTCACGCCTCCCACTTCATCCAAATGTGTATGCGATTCCACCTTGTGAAGATGCTGGACCAGCCAACTTGTACTGTTGATCTCCATCCGATTGAGATCCCGTAGAGTATACTAGCACATCGATGTGTTAAGCTGCATACGCATATGGACCTAAAACGGGTTCGATGACTGTATTGCTTTGGAGGCATGCGTTACAACGTTATCCTTGCTGTGATCAAAATATAGCAAAGTGATTTGTGAGGTTTTCGAGGTGAAAACGCCTGGAATCGTCATTAAAATCTCTCAATGGCATCCTGAGGTAGTCCCATAAATTTCTCACTTTTCACATCAGTCGGTCAAAGTGATACTATTGTAAATTGTGATTACTTTCTGATAGCCATTACCAACAATCACTCAATGCCATCCATCGTTGCACTGTACCTTTTAATTCTCTTTTTTCCTTTGTGTTGTATGGTAACATAATACCGAGAGAGTGCAGTGGCTGGGCGATCTTCTTTCCAAATTGTTCTCACTTGTTTTTTTTTGTGTGACAGATTGGTGAACAGGTGCTCCGCTTGTGTCTGAAAGAGCTGTTTGTTTTCCGGACAATGCAGACTGACCCTAACTGGTCTAACTTTTTGTACAATCCGAAATCCGGGAAAGTGAGTCATTATCGCCAAAGTTTCTCACAATGTAGTAGTATGGTAATTTCATTCCAACGAGCAGCGAAAACGGGACTAAAGTTCTCAGCTTTTAGATAACCAGTTGCCACATTTACTTCCACACGGGACTCTTCGCTAGTCAGAAGTGACTGGCGCCGCCTTTGTTTTCCGAAGAGTGTTGGCCGGCACAGTTTGGGATCTGTTGTTGGTTAATTTACGACAGATACAGTAGCAAACTAGGAGATATGGGCTGACACACAGGAGTGACCGTTTAACCAGTGAGCACATCACTTCCTCACATACGTAACCGTCTGTGTTCAACCAAATTACCCCGTGTTCGAGAGTTATAAATACTGTTAGGGGACCAAGTTTTAGAACGACAACATTATGGCTTTGCATGAGCCATATGCATCCCAACATTCCTTTCAAAATTGTGGAATAAGATTGACGAAAACGACTCGATAAACGTTCCTGGTTTTGTCATGGATGCTACTACCGTCTTGATAGGCTTCATTATTTTTGTCCCTTCTATAGATGACTAAAAATGGAGGAAAGCACGCTCAAACCAAACGGCAAAATCTGTGCACAAACATACCCAATAGAGTATTGATATCGTTCATTTTAATTGAGTCTTCATGCAAGGGTGTATGGAGAGAGTATCCATCCTCCAAATCGAAGTGAGGGGAAACAGATTGCGCGCGCATACCCTGAAAACTGGTCGCGTTTGTGGTATACTACCCTAGGTCCATTCTCATTTCCACGTCGGTTCACGACGATCACTTAATCCACGAACTGACACCCTTCACCCCGCGATTAACAATGTTGATACCTACCGCTGCGCTTTCCGACCTTGCAGCATTGTTTCGGGTGTGATATTCCTCGGTGTTTTGATTGGCCTTTTTTGCTGGTTTGTTTTGTAAGCGGACCCAATGTAGGAGGCAAACGACTGACGCCTCAGGCTCCTGTCCCGGTGTGTTCTCTTTGCAGTTGCGATTTCATTTCAAAATAATCAAGTTCAATTGCGACTGGAATTTTATGCTGGACAACTGTCTTGTGAATGCTCTTTCCAGCACTATCCTGAAAAGCCCGAACTTACTCAATTCCCATGAGGGAGAGAGAAAAAGAGCACGTACTCAAGAATGTAACTTGGGTAGTGTGTTACTGAGTGTGTTGTTTATTTTCTCGTTTCGAGTTGTCGTTGTCCCACTGAATTTTCAGAGGTCTGCGAATGCAACTTCTGGTTTTCGTCTAGTCCTCTCACCCAACCACATAATCCCTTCGAATGAAGACCATCACGGGGTAGACTGTACCTTTTCTCAGAAGGTGCCTTCACTTTGAGGAACGCATGTGGTGAACCTTCCGGGAGAACAACCTCACTCTCTAGAGATCCTCTCTATTCGACCGCCTAACGCATAGCCACGATATGGATACCATCAAAGACAGCAGGAAGAGTTTCGAATAAAGGCTCGAATGTTGTGAAAACGGCAACAAACGAACCGGTTCATCCTCCCACATGACGTTGATGCGTGATAAGTGTCCCTTGAGGGTTTCGATGGGCCCCGGTTTTCTGGCTTCCTGTGACTGCGGTTTCTTGGTTGCCAACTAATTATCTGTTTTTCCCCTACTTTTTTCTGCTTCACTCCTACAGCTCCCGTTTCATTTCTCTCCGCCATCCCATATTCACCTGTGTAGATTGTTCTCCTGGACTTTGGAGCTTCCAGAGAATTCAAAAAGACATTCATCGATGTGTATATTCGTCTGATTCACTGTGCAGCCGAAGGCGACCGCGAGGGTATTCTGCATTATTCCCGAGAACTGGGTTTTCTGACAGGCTACGAGAGCAAGGTTAGTTTCTGTTCCACAGTGTGACGTACCAGTTGGCAAACCAAACACTGGATTTCATCTTTAAATTGCTAATATGCCATTCTCGTTCTGCACAGAGCGGAAGTGCTCAAGTCTTTTGACCGTGGACCGCTTTTGGGGGGTAAATTAAAATCCATGAATCGAAATCGACTTAGTATGTTGTATACATTTGTCAAATCATCATTCTACCAAAAAAATCAGATTAATCACCAAAATCTACTTTTCCCGAACTAACTAATCATGTCATCGCCTCCATTGTTTTGTGATGTCTCCCACGCTCCCATTTTCCGGCGACCGAAACTTTCGCACCTGGAACCGATGAGTCCTCGGTACATGGTTTTTTGCTGATAACCTGACTGGGTGATTGAGTAAGGCGTTTCAGAATCTACTATTTGTGACGTGACACTTAATGAGTTGATCGCGTTTCGAACTACGGACATCCTTGTGTTCTGTCATTTGTTATCGACATGAATATGTATTATGGATGTGTAACATCTTGGCTTGGTATTCCGCGTCCCAAAGTGCACCAAAGGTCACAGCGGCTTGAAACGGTGCACACTGAGATCTAACGTCATGGCCACGACCGAGTTGTGTGCATTGTTATGCTGGGGCATTCGTGACGGGAGACATGACTAAACGAAACCGCTTGATTTTAATTGAAGGACGTTCTCACAAATGACTCATTGTTAGAAATGAAACCAGAAAATGATTCTTCGAACGATTGTGGTTGGATATAGGTAACCAGAAAGCAACTGTATATGGTTGGTAGCCGCTTCACCGTCCACTCGTCCAATGTGCGGCTATTCCTGGAGAAAATTCCTCCTTCATTTGGCGTCTCGTTAATTGATTGATATCTCTTCTTCAGAACAGCGCGGCAAATGGGACTGTAGATAACCAACTTGAATATCATCGCCAGCTAGAGAACAAGCATATCTGACGTTCCAGAACAACTGTGTGAGTTCGTCTAGCTGGGTCTCTCGCTGGTTCATGTGTACGAATTCACGGATCACCAGACGACCCAAATCCAGAAAATTTGTCAATAATTACTCCATACACCATCACTTATGGGTGCATTAGTTTACTGAGAGCCGTCTAAAGTATTTCTAAAAAGCAGTTAATGTCCACTTTGATATTGATGGGATGGATTCTAAGTGATCTGCGTAACCAATGTGCTCAAACCTTGTCAATCTGGAGTTCTCTTTTCTCCGGAAATTGGGTGGGACCACAAAAAGTCTCTCCGGGGCCATACTGTCATTCGTCATGTGTTTTGCACGCGCAAATTTGGACGTCGTACTCCAGCACATACATACAGTTCAAGAAGTACTGAGGTCTGGAGTGCTTTTCACTAGTTACATCACACATATATCAGCCTTGATGAGTTCGGCGCACGAATCTGGAGTCACCAGTTGGTTTACCAGTCGGTGACTGGGTGACTGGATCCAATCATGAAACCGACAACGTTGTTTCACTCGCTCTGTAGATTTTCTGTCCTCATTGTCTTCGTTAGTGCATGTTCGTCTCTTATCGGTGGCCAGAGACCGTGGTGACCAGAACTACCGCACGTATGTACACGCCTCACGGTTGAGAGTGAAAAGAATATCCAACTAGAGTCTGTGAATTACCTTCTCGGAGGGACAGCATTGCCGTCTCTCACCCATATGCAGTTGTTAAAACACTTGAAATCCCTTTGTAGGAAGGTCTCCAACTTTCAAAGAGGGATTTTTGGATTTTCACTGCTTCATCATCGTCACCTCAAATTATTGGAACTTGTTTGTGGTACGACTGGCTTAATCCGCTCACTTTGTCTCAGTTTAGTGAGACTGAAACGGTATTATACCGATTCACGGTATTCACTGGGCCTTAGTTGTGGATTTTTATGGGGTTGTCTAATCGTAACCACTGTGAGATGTTGGAACTCATTCCAAACAATCTACAAGATTGAAGTGCACTCTACACACGAGCGCGAGACCTCTGCAACAGAAAAATCACTACATAAGACTGGAAGCTTGTGGGAACACCTGTGTTTATTTGCATAAGTGAAGTAGACAGCTCCACAAATTCAGGGCCAGGAAAATGGGTAAGATGCCCACCTCTTTTGAGGCGAAAAGCCCAGTAAATTTTGGCACACACGTTACGGTCACCAGTATCAACTCTACGTCAGTAGTGAACAGCTGCATCAATCGACTTGTGAAAGTGAAATCATAGCTGTTTCACTACCAACTACACACTGAAGTCCTACAAATACCACTTCAAAATCAAGCAGTTAAGGCAACTGCCGTAATTCTTGTTCCCCAGTCAAGGGCATCGTGGATTTGTGTTTGGGTGACTTGGCCTCGACCTCCTGTACTTGGTGAATATTTGAAAATCTGGGTTGGTTGATTCGTCACCCATCAATCGTATCCATTTTTGTTGGTTATGCATACTGCATCGACCCAGATGATAACCGAGTGCGACAGCATTGCATTAATGTTAAGGGAAAGTCAACATAAGGTTGACGGAAACTCGGGAACTGCGCCTACCTGATGAGCCCCAAGAAGGGCGAAACCGGTCATGGGTTGTCGAGGAGTTTTCAGCAACGTTATGACTAGTGCATTACAAAAATATATATGTGTATCGCGATATCTTGAATATCGTAGCGACTGAAAAATGAGGTGGCCTGGTGCACCACATTCAGTTGCCTGGAAACATCAAAACCGGGAGATGCAGCTGGATTCCAGGTGAGTCTCTCGAAAAACTAAACTAGTTTGCAAATGAGTGTATACTCGCTAAAGTCAAGCCGCTTTTATGAAAGTTCCCGCACGTGGTTTGTTAGTAACAATTTCATCTCTTCACGACTTGCCTCCCAACCCTCTGAATGTCTTTTGTGTACTGTGCCTTGTTTTTTCTCGCAGGTAATGTTACAAGCTCATGTGGATGCAGTTAGTATCCTAGGCGAAGCATTCGCCTCTCCTGTTCCATTCGATTTCGGTCATCAGTCTACGACTCGTCGAATCAACCGTCTTATCCCCGTCATGATCGAACACCGCCTTACCCCTCCTCCAGAAGAGAGTTATTCACTCCATCGCAAGATGTCTGGCTGCTTTCTTTTGTGTGGAAAATTGAAGGCCGAGGTCAACTGTCGTCCCCTGTTCTACCAGATTTGGAACAACTATGAATTCAATAACGTTGAATCGGCGACCAATTATTCATCACAACAGCCTTAGCTTTTGTGTTTGTGTATAGCCTCGATATATGTAGTTAATACATTCTGATCCCTTCTGGTCTTTCTTCTCAGTAGTTATTCAGAGACTGATAGAATGGTTTTTCTACACCATCCACATACTTTCATTTTAGGCGGAGTTTGATGATGGTTTCCTGCCGACGCGCCGATTCACCTTCCTTGGGTCAAGATGGTGATTCGGGACAGCAACTGTCTCCTGATCAGTGGCACACGAGTGGTGACTACGCCGAAGAAGAGACAGAGGATGCACCACCAGTCTTAGTTGGCTATGTGCCACTAGGTAGTGAAGTCCTTCATACACTGGATGCTGGAGATAATGAAAGCGATGGAGATGAGCAGGTCATTACTTATACGGAACACTTGACCGTGCATCGAGAAGAAATTGAGACTACCAATTCTCCAGATCCCGTTGCAGAGGCAAGCGGTAGTATCATGGACTTGGATGTTGATCAGCTTCTCCTTGCTCAGCTTCAACGATCTGATTTTGAACTTTGTGGTGGAGCTGGAGTAAGTGAAGCAAGTCGGTCGTTGAGACAACTTTTCAGATGGATCACGTGTTTAGTTAAGGATCCTCTGATCATAACAGAGGTTCGAACTTTTATGAATGACCTGCGATTGAAGGCCTAGTGGTGTGGGCAATCTCACTTCAAAACCAATGGAGTGCCAATATGGAAATTTACTTGCGCGACTTAACAGAATTTTGCAAAATTTGCTTTGAAATAACTTTTGAACGGCCCTCTCCCTTAAATATGAGCTGACTAACTTCTTGATTACCGATATCTTTAAAAAATAAGCATTGCCCACGTATCATTTTGCTGAATTCTTATTGATCGGGACGTTTCTTCGTGATGTACTGCAGGGGCGAGATGCCTCAGTGGTTAAAGTGCAAATTTGCTGACTGGAAGGTCCATGGTTCGAACCCGACCTCTGCATCTCGATTTCCCTTGTCTAGGCTTGGGCAACTTGGCAATATCCCAGCCCTCGTGCCATGGCAACTTGACACTGGAAGGATGTTACATCTGAACTGTTATTATTACTAGAGTGTCATTGGTGCTGTCTTCTCGATTAGTAACGAAGCGTTTGCAGTTCTCCTCTTCACGTTCAGCAAACAAACAGTTACCTGATGAACTGTCAGTTTCTTGGATTTCATGTGTTGTTTTGAGAATTTATCGACCGTCCTCTATTCACGGATATTGCAAGGGGTAGAATGTTGAGATACTGTTACATATGCTTCTCAATAAGGAACATACCGTACTTACGGATTTTCTCAACTCCTCACGTGCTGATTGCTAAAACTCCTAGATGAATCAGAGGCAAAACGTCGAACGTAGTCCGGCATGGGCAAAAATCCTTCAACTGCACTGCATTAATGGCATCCCTACGACTGTTGATTTTCTAGCTGAATGAGTTTGCGTCGGTAACGCACTGGCACGATGTCCTAATTTGATAACTCACTGTGAAGCTGAAAATACGGTGAACAATATGCTTTCTTCAAACCGACCCACCTTATCTCTGACGTATTGTTAGGTGGTTGTTTTAGTGCTTGTGTCCATTACGGATGATCGGCTTCACAGAAATACGATATCCACTTTCTGTACACTTGAAAGTTGTTTCAACCTCATATCATAGGACAGAGATACATCTGCTCGCTGCACGATACCCGAACTACGGACTGTCCTTAGATTTGTTATATCTGCAACGTAATAACTCTAGATGGTGTACAGTCTTTCTTTGTCCTAGCTCACAACGACCTTGCTGATAAGGAAAGGAACCTGCCCTCAATTTGGATGGTAAGCTATTGAAACTAAAACAAGCAGTGCTTCAACACAAGACTGCAAAACACCCGTTTTATCAAAAATCACATTCACAATGTACTTACCGGCTCTCGAAAATGACACATACCTTGGGAAGCTGGGATTCGGTTGCAACAACATCATAGAGTTGTGCTTTATCTGCTCCTTATGTGGGCTAAAATAAGTATCGTTTATCATCTGAATGCACTTTGTATGCTGGAAATCAACGGGCAGAGACTGCTCACCTTGGTCAGAGAGTTAAAGCCGATGGAATCCAATAGCCTTATTAGCACTATCCCTCGATTGTTCGTCTCCTCATCTTTTCCGAAATGATGCTTTAACAGATTTATGCGCTTAAATTCTTACGTCTTGCACACACCTCTGTTACTTTGGTTGGTTGGAAAAAAACAGGCCAATGTAGCTGTGTTGGGAATTAAAAGGCGGACACATATACTTCACCTCACTGACGTTAAATTAACTGTCTCAACTTTCTTCTGGTGAAATCGTAGGTCCTTCTGTTCCATGTGTCTTTCGACTGTCTTGTTTACACTTCTATTGTCACTTCTATATTACCCGTTTTCAGGACGCGTCACTATACACTGACCCCTTGCCTGATTCTACTCAAACCACTTTGTGGAACAGGACCGAGCGCTCATCTGACGACCGCATAACAATGGATAGTGGTGAGTAGTCGGTATATTTTCACCCTCCTGCTAATCGCCTTGTTCATCATGGACCTGAAGGGGAAATTCTGTCCCAGGCTGACCCTGGCGTCCTTTCACGATGTCATTCTTCCATCATTTACCTCCACTTACTACTCACACTTGTGGATCCTAGTGGTTACCCATACAGAACCGGCTGCTTACAGACTTACCGTTCCCACCGGTGGGTAGCGTAGCGAGAGCCATTTAAAGTTCCGATCAGTCAATCAACGAGTTAAGCAACTTGTACTTTTGAAAGTATAACATGGGAGATGCCAGCAGCCAGGGAACCTTTTTGTCTCGAAATATGCAGGTGGGTGCCTGAAAATATGCGCTGTAATGAATGTCAAGTACTACTGAGCGCATAGGATTTGTTGTGCAACCAGGAGGCGCATTTATTCTCCTATGGGCGTCGGATGGTGCAAGACGAACGTGACTACAGGAGTGAATGGCACCTGTATGGCCTATCGGGGAGCGCTGGAGAATATTCTGGCGTTTCGTTACTATGTCGTATTGATAGTTTCTGGATTCATGTCCTGCCGCATATTCTGCGTTAACTCTTATTCCCTTATTAAGACCTTTTTCAGTTATCTGTCATCTGTTGTTGCTTGATACGCAACCAAATTTTGTTTCCCAAGCTTCTTGAGTACAGTTTGCATTCTACCACGAGAACCATAGTGCGTGCTGAACTTGTGAGACAATAACAGCTCTGTGGTTGGCCCTACGTACGCTGGTGGTTTATTCTTACAGTCTGTATGCGTGACCACATCCTTACCCTCTTTTACTTTTGGAATGCTCAACACGCATGGCTATGATCAATCGATTTTAATTTACAAATAGTGTGTGATCACCCATGCACAACTCCAGTGATAGCCGCGCAAGTGTGGTGTCCCCACATGCAGCACGTTTCGCATTTTGTTGCTCAGGCTCTAAGACCATTATATTAGGAGGACGGTCAGCGTTAGATACCGAGTTCTTTACCCTGCTTTCGACTATATGTTCGCCGTAAAAGTTTTCTTTTCTATATCCCGTACTTCATCTCAGTTTCAGACTCCGGTTGCCACATTGCCTCTATTAAGTGTGAACCTAGGGCTTTCATCTGTTACTGCCCAAGCAAAAGTATAGGCAGCTAATTTTCCTGGTTACTGGAAGGGAACCTCTTGAATTTATCCGTAGTCATTGACCTAAGGAACAAACGTAAGGAGAAAGGCGCACTAAGGATGTTTTGTTATTGGCTATGGATTCAGCCAGCGTTGAACAGATAGCAGAGGCTCTCCAGATTGACGGGTAATTTGAACCTAGCACACCAGTAAAATGGTGGCTTGGGTTGAGTGAAGGTTTGTCTTGTTGCTAGTGTAAACGAAGCTCAGTTGCTGACATATATCTTTGTTTTGCATTCTTATTATTTGAGTTTATTTAAGTAGCGCACTATATTGTCATGTTTAATTGATTTTTTTGTGTTGTATTTACTATTCGTACTTACGAATCTGGGCATTTTGAAATGTTAGGCCCGAAGTGACAATCTCCTACCAACCAAACTTTACGCTGACCGAACCAGCTAGCCGCATATGTGTTTTATCAGTGGTGCAGGATAATAGATCATCTTTAGCGTTTATTAGAAGTTCCAACCGTTCATTCTTCTCCATAAGAGCTGACACTTATGGACCATCATTTAGATTCGCTGTGAAACTTATTCCTCGAATTTATGTCGAGTACAGCACCTTCACCTGGTTGCGCATGTGGCCTAACACAAACCCTACGTGGGTCTGTCGGCATGATTCGATATGACAAGAAACGGACGCCAGTCCACCGCAGTCATCGTTGGCAAACAACTGCGATTCAAATGGCCGTCGCTAGTCTGTCTTGGGATTTCGCTTGCTTTTCACCAGCATCGTCTTAAACTGATACTCAGTCCGTTGCCAATGCCGTCATCTTGAACCATCGGGACCCACTCGTATTGAATGAGTAAACCATATCTGCCTCAAGAATGCACGCTATCGTCTGTTTGCGTGGAGTCATCCATAGCCTGCTGTAATTCATTTTGGCTAACCTACACTCAATGTTTATCAGGTGTAGGGAAATCTACATACTGATATCGCACTCAACGCTTTTTCGTTTTTGACAGAAAAGGTCCAAGAGATACGCGCTTGCATGTCAAGGTTCTCGTTACCTCCAAGTGGTTTCCCGGATTGGGCCAGAGAGATTCCGGAAGAACTTTGGACTAAACAATTAATAGAACGGCTAAAGGGGAAGCACGCACATCACGGAAACTGAAACCATATCTACTGGTGGAATTTGCACCAATCTGTATTTATACTTTCGAGACTTGGACTTCAATCCTATTTGCATTTGACTTCAGTCACTTTTTTGTGTTATTTTCCATGGCACCGGATAAATCGTTTCATTCTCTAAAATGAATTGTTCTAACGCGCTTTTGGATTCGCACTTTGCATGGCGATCATGCGTAAAAATACTATTATAGGCGGTCACTTTCCTTCATTGCATCGATTACCGGAAATTGTCGTATTAGTGTGGAGCCCAGTAGAAGTCACTCGAACTCTACATGTAGTCTATCGTCAGTCGCGTGACTGTTTGTTCCTATCTGTCCACTTTATGGATTTAAGCTACACTGAGCGATAGTTTCTTCATAACGTATCTATTGTCCCCTCATGAGTGCCAGAAATTCAAGGCTGTTTGTATCCACTGTTTTCTCTCTCTCTGCAGTTGAACTGTAGCCAGTTTTGTATCCTCATAACACAATCGTCTCTTAATATCCCTACTTTGTTGTGGACGGCACTGTGCACCAGTGTATCACGCCTTTCTGAATAAAGATATGCTAGTGACCAGTGGTAAAACCAAAACGACCACATTGTCAATTCTTGACAAATTTCCCTGTTTCACGAAATCACCTCGAAAACCTCAAGGTAGTCAACAATTTTTGTGGGCTTTTAATGTTTGACCGAGGTTAGCTACAGGAACATGACCGTACTTTGCGCCCATGCATTCTCAGCTCCCGCACCCAATTGCCTGAAACCAATGGAACAGCCAGACCATAGTTGCTGTGTTACGTTATTGTATTATCACGAGTGTTTTGGGAAACCAATGAGGCATGCAGTCATACCGACGACCACTGCATATACTGTTTTCTTTGAATCAGCCATTCGGATTTGAGTGACTAGACACTACATGATTCTGAGAGTGTCACGCCACCCTGACAGCAGTTGGAACGTGAGTTTTTTCTCTGAGTTCGCACTTACGAAGGGCAAATGTGCAAGCAATTCCAAGTTATTTAAATGACGATTTACGTAGTTACCAGCTTGACGGTCTTCGGTTTAGTCCATTTCAGTATGATGACCATCAGCCATCCACGTACCTACGGTAGCTCAGGTCTTCTTTGATTATGATTCCCAGACCAAGAGGATGCTGTCAGAAAGCTAATATGTTTCGCACAGAAAGACACTGTACCCGCAGTTTCGTTCACCGATGTTTTTTTGGGGGGGATAGGTACAGTGGGCTGTCAAGTGGGGGTTGGTTGGGAAAGGAACTACGCATTGAAGGCAATAGCTTGGATGCACGAGCGCCATTGAGGACGCGACTGGGCCATATCTGACAATGTCTCTAGCCATTGATGTGGCCCGTCTCGGGGTCCCCATCCAGGAAGACGGCAGTGACCAGCGCAGCTGAGTTTGCTGGTAATTGCTTTCATACTTCGCTGCCAAGTCATTGTTTGACCGCCTCTGGCTCTCCTCCACCCTTCACATGGTTGTGCGAAAAGAGCCCTTCGAGGAAGTCGGTCGACTGGCAACTGTACCGTTCGATTGCATCAATCATCCATGAAGTCCGTCTTTGGCTCCTCTGATAATGAAGGATGGCGGCTATCACTGGACTAAAAGTATGCACAACTACCCGTGTAACGGTGTGTAATTATGATGAAACATGCAGTTAGTATCTGGTCAACTGTTTCAAAACACCACTCCTCTGTCCGATGGAGGGTTGGTTTGGAAACCATGTAACAGATTCGCAGTGTTAGTTTACTTTAGATGTTAACTATTCAAAAATTCTGTGTAAAGTGAGCTTTTACTCTCGCTTCTGATGCCTTGTTATTAACGTATCCAAGATAGTCGCGCTTTTTCACTCTAATTTAGCTCATCAAATACCACGTCCGGTCCACGAGTGCCTGCGAAGAACCATAGGGAACGAACAACTCAAGGCGGAAACTTATTTCCGAGGAAAACACACTTATCCGTGTATTCTAAGCTGTGGGACGACTTTACTGAGACGTCTTAAACGGGACTAGCATGCCACTTGTTGAAGTCCCCCAAGCGTGCGATAAATTCCATTGAACAGTGGGGAGAATGGCATAGAAAGTCAGTGCTCCTCAAAAAAGGAGTTACTCTACGTTCCTTTTGTTTTTTCAAGATGTGCTTCTAGGTAGTTTGTTGATTACTTCAGGTTTTTAACTGAGTCGCTGATCAGCCTGATATTTCCTTGCTCTGTGATATGGTCTCCATAGATGCTACCCAACTCCTCTCTTTGAATTCAGCGTAGGATACGTGCTACGCGCGCTTCTGAGTGGTTTGGATAACTTTGTGTAAGTGAAAATATTGTTCGTTGAAGTCAGTATTTAGCAAAAATCAAGACTGCTGAATGGGCAGTTCTTGACGTATTGATTGGGCAGTCTTTCCATTTTTCATGTTCTTAAGTTCACTATCCGAAACGCACTACTTTTTTCGATCTAACGACGCCACTTGTACATGTCTCTTTTTTGAGAGAACTACACGGCTCTACACTTCAAAACAGGATATAAACTATTTGTCCGTCTGAAACATTGGGAAATACGCTTGTTCAGTGGAGGTCGTAGTATAGGACGAGTACTGCGCTGATATTACTACAACTGAAAGTTAGACGGACACAGAATTTGAGTAGATTCAGCGGACCAACAGGATCTCGAACTTGAGAAATGCCATGCTCATAGCAACTGATTTTGCATGCAAGGAACCGAATAGCTAGGCATGGAGAACGGAGATTTCAATTCAAGACCTTGGTTCTTATTTGAGTTTATCTATCCAACACAAAAGTCAATCTTTCGGCCCAGGGTTGGAGAGACTTCGAAGACGAGTGTGCACATACATTCCGTTGATTCGCCAGTATATCTCAAGTTTACTGTATGTCTAAGCACAGACCGCGTTTGAAGTGACTACTTTCATCACATTCTGCCTCCTCTCGCCAGGAACACTAAAGAACAGTAGACTTTTCACTAGCCAGGTGAAAGAGGCCTAAGAGGTGTTTCATTTCTCTCGCTTCTTTCAAGAGGGTACGTTCTCTACCGTGGATCAATTTAGTATCGCTTGTAGAAAGAGTAACAAAAGCGTAAATCCGTCGAGTTGAAATAGTGCAGCTTTTTGGATCCAAGGTGAGGCTAATCCATCTGTGGAGCACGCAAAAAGAGTTGAATGTCTATTTTCAGTATCACACGGACTTTATGCTGCTCGTGTCTCCCGCCGAAAACTGCCTTTCATTGGTAGTAGGCTTTCCGTTGGTTCCAATTCCGAACATTCCCATGGAGTTTGAGTAACGTAGGGCTCTTCACATCAGGGTAAGACAAGCTGGTAAACATTATTAAATACGCTTCCGTGCGGCCTTCCTCATATCTGAAATCTGGATCTGAACAGGACTTTAGGTGTGGCGACTGGTAGTGGCTCATGTTTATGGTCCATTTTATGGTTAATTTTCCACTGCGACTGTTTATTTTCCAAGGTTAAAATATACGTGTGATATTTTCCCAAGGGGCCATCGGTTTCCGGGCATGTAGTCGTCAGTTTGGGTAATACTGTGGTTAACTGCTTTCTGTTTTTCTGCCCTAAATGCTGCTGGTAGTATCGTGTCACTCGTGTGAGTTGTTGCGTTGTTATATAAAAGCTGCTGAGGGCATGATGTTGACTTAACAACTATAGTGGCTGAGGCAGCTACTTGTAACAGATTAACTGACTGATGTCAGTTCGTAGCTTTAGTAGCCTTAACTGTACATAGTTTTCTTGCCTGTTTCTATCTTTGACTATCGTCGAAGAGCTCATAAGGAGTACACCTACCAGCACTTCCTATCTTTCGAGTATACTTCGAGACTGTTCGTATTAATATTCAACATTGGTGAAGATGCTGGTTGGTCTCCGATTACTCACCGCACCTGACCACCTAACGTATGATCATTTTGGGATATGCAGCTTTGCTTTCTACGTCGTCTGTCATTGAAAGTGATCCTTTTGGGTGAAACGTGTGGATCTCAAGTCTCTCGGAACATCCGCTGCAACATATTCTCATTTTCCTTGTTTGCTCTGTGTTATCAAACAGAAATTACATCAATAGGAGCAACCACATTAAGTACGCCGTCACATTAACTCTAATCCATTTATTGAGACTGCATAGATTATTGCTTGGTTGAATGACGACTGGACGCATGCAGCCGGTCATATGAATGCGGAATAATCCACCTGTTTGTTTGCTGCATTGCCCAGCGTTACCCACTTGGGTCTGTCGATACTCACGAAGGAAGCCCATACCAGCCTTCTTACCTGAAAGCGCACGTGAACAGCTTGGTCACGTGTGTCTTTTTGAATCAGTCGGATCGAACGATTGTTCAGAACACACTGCACCAATACCGCCTGACCTTAGGATGCTGGGTGTTCGAGTACCGAGAGTGTCTGACGGAAATCCAAAATCCAGGCTTCGTGTAAACGGTCGTGAAATGATTCGCGTCCAGGGAGTGTACATGTATGTTATAAATCAAACTGGTCAGGTGGGAGCCATCATGGGGTTTTTCCCCTTGGTGATTGTTATGTACGAAGATATTTCAGACGGTGAGATGGTACGAGGCTATTTGCGTGTGGATCGTTGGGTATACCCGCTTGCACGTTCGTTCTCTCCCATCTTCATTTGGGGTCCGGATAGGATGATCATACCGGAGCCGTTCTCTCCACTAACCAAACCAATTTATGTTGTGATCCGCATTCCCCTCGAAATGTCTCGTTTTCAGAAGGATACTTTATGGAATTTACTGGATGTCAACGCTCATGTATGCGGAAGGTTTGCTGATTTCACCGTTCAACAAATTAAGGCGATGGACAAACTGTTCGCCTTGACGGAGATAACCAGCTACGAGCAGTCGCTTTTGAACAAATCCCAGGATGGTGTTTGTCCACCGGGTACTAGAGAGTTGATCAATAAATCCAAACGTGGAATGGGTCACAAACTTTTGGCTTTCGAAAAAACAGCCGGCCAGCTGAGCGTCTGTTTTACCAAGCCGCATGATAGGAAGGCATTTCTCGCTTCTTTTCACGGGGAATCGGATCGGAATACGTCGGGTGTTCCAGAGCACTGTCTGCCACCTGGTCTGCTTGTTCACCGTCGTGAATATTTCAGCCCATTAGCTCCCCTTAAATATGCTGAGAACGACGTTACTTGGCCAGGTGGTCATCCGAACCTAGTGTTGCTACCACCGGGTCGAGGGAATCTGATGAGATTGTACATTCTAGGTCCACGAGACCCCCAACACATTCAGGTCAGCACAGTGATGGAATGGATTAAGGTGACAGAATTGATGTTTCAGGCGGTCGCAGAGGTATTTAAGCAACAAGTTCGTTTGAGAAAAGAAAAGGAGTTATACGGCGTTCCTCCAAGTTTTGAAGGTCGTACAAGACGTCTTTTTGGTGGATGGGGA